CCAAGACAGACAATACCAATGAGGACATGATTGAAGAATTTTTAATGGGTGGATGTGACGCGGGACCTTCAACTCAACCAAAAAATAAAGAAGGAAATCGCAGAATAGGCCAACGTACCAGACAAGCTCCTCCTTGTGGAACTCACCAACGATTGACACGACCCGGTCAAAATCGACAATAGATGTATTTTCTTATAAATTAATTATTATGTCATTTCTCAATTATATATATATATATATATATATATATATATATATATATATATATATATATATATATATATATATATATATATATATATATATATATATATATATATATATATATATATATATATATATATATATATATATATATATATATATATATATATATATATATATATATATATATATATATATATATATATATATATATATATATATATAAAATTCAAGTAAGTTAATTTAAAAAAGAAAAAAAATTCACATTAACACTCTTCCGCCATGGGCGAGCCCTCTTAAATTTACAACGCTTTCGCCCATTGATTTTGTGGATGCCAGAAATATTCAACAGCTCCGTCCATTCACTTGGCGGATGCTTTATGACAAAAATAAAATTTGTTTGAAAAGATGGTAGTATGAGAATATTGATTGAAGAGGATGGTATAGTGAGAATTTTTGTGTAAAAAGGTGGTAAGGTAGTAAAAAATTCTCCATATGCAATTCAACCTGCAAAATGTGTACAAAATTAGAATCAATATTGAATACACATCTAATTACCTTCAAGAAACCTTCTAGAAAATGAAAAAAGTAAATAGAATTGTACAAATATCTTTCAACAACTCACAACTTTCCCTCATCCACGATTTCCTCTTCATTCCACTACTCCACTCCACAATTTCCGCTAATATTCTTATCCAAATTTCCCTTCATTCTTATCCTTTCCCTCACATCAATTTCCTATCCTACCCTCACTCTCCTAATGCTATATAATTGATCTTCAATCAGAGAATATGGACACAAAAAGCAGAGAAAATCTACTGTAAAACAACCATCCAAAACTCTGCTCACAAACCATCAACAACGGACAACTCAACAAATGATACACAGCCATACAAACACATAAGAAGAAGAATACAACAAAACCACAGACATTCGAATCAAGCTCACGCGTACAATACGAAAGCAACTAGAACAGACGCATACGAAGAAGAGGGTGATTCAGAGGGAATAAAAGGATGAATACCTGGACTTAAGCTCTTTCCACCTTCATCGATTTCTGTCTGTCTCGCTCGGTAACGTTATTTTACGAATTTCCTTTTCATTCGTTTTCCTGTTGATTCTCCATGTGAACACCAAGTAATCTATAATCACATATCCTAACGAAATTGGGGGTATTGGGATTTCTGAGGGTTTAAGTTTTTGATTTGGATCATTGATGTTGTATTTTGTTTGATTGAATCGATGGAAACAGTGAGAAATAGAAAAGAAAGATAATAGGAGAGAACTCTGTTTCACGATGAAGAGGAATTGATTTGTTTGATCTAGGGGTTTTTCTACAGACCCGATATTGAGGTGTAAGGGCCATAGATCCGGTTTAACCCGGTCCAGTCCAGAGCCATTTGAGTTGTTGGCTTGTTTTGTTTAGTATCATGGGCCCAACACTTTCACGCCTATCCCTCTCTTTGTTTTTTACTTAATATCTTTTATTTACTTAACCTTTTTTACAAATTACTAATAAAAAAACTTAATTTTATCTAGTTTATCATTTAACTAAAAAAAACCCAAAAACATTTAGATTGGAACTCTAATTCATTTATAAAAATGTGAAAAATATTTTCTTTTAGTTATTTGTGTCTTAGAATTATTTTTGTTAATTGTTGAACTATTTCTATTTTACTTGTATATTTATATAGACTTGTAATTGTTTCATCCCCATTTGTAAATATGTATCTCATTTCCCATGTAATGTAATAGCTAGTAGTTACTTTTATTGTTTCATATTATTTAATTATTCACCACATGTGCACAAACATTTTTCAAAGGAACTAATACTTGATTCTGAGCCATTTTCATACCTTGAGTCGACAAAGCTTTTAAGCGTCGCAATGACCATACATAATACACACATCACGTTTTCCCTTTGGCTCACAGTGGAGCTTTAGTCGATTGATTAAAACTTCGTTTTAATTAATCGATTGAATTTATTCCATGCATGCACTTACATAATTTTAATAGCCTTATCATTTGTGTGAGCCACCTTGTATGGGTTTATAATAATTTATTTACTTGCTTTACTTTCATACTTGTAATTATTCATAATTGTTCACTTCACTCAAATATTTTTTATAATAAACCTTGGTCCAACGCCAAGTGATCCTCATCTTCAAAACACTATCATAATCAAAGTATTAAGCCTCGATCCAACGTCGAGTTGATTTTCAAAAATCTTTTTCATAATAAATTATGAGTACTTAGATCGTTGGTTATTAGACTTATTGTCTAAAGTCTCACATCAAAACAACTTAAAAAGTGTGAAACTCATTTCACTTCACCTTTTCATAAGAAACTTTTTGGGTTGAGAGATGACTTGTTGAGCTCCATTTCTCCTCTAATTTCTAGTATTTGAATCGTAGGATGTTAGTCCTATTGTTCGGTACTTGTCACCCGCATAAAAAAAAACTCAACTCATTCAAACTCTTTACCACTTGGCTTTTTCAATTTAAAACCTTTTCGAGTTATATTTTGTCTCATTTCGTGACGACAAAACAACGTTCCTTACACATGTGAATCTTGAACCTTTTTCACTCGAATGCGATGATGGCAAGAGTTCGTGCATAATCCAGACTTAGTCATTCATTCTTGAAGTGACGCAATCGTTTCATTATCCATGATTTGGGTAGTACTGTTTCTGTTTGAACGTGATCGAGTATCTCTCACTAAAAAAACCAACAAACAAATATTTTCTACCTGAACTACGATGCTATGATTTCTTTATTGCACCATGAAGATACGTAGGAACGAGATTTTGAAACTAAGACGAGCACAATAATAAAAAAAATCAAAAAATATTTCTCCTTTCTTTCTTTCTCCTTTATAACTTAGAAGATAACAAATTTTCATACTAACACACGAACACACACTAACTAAATGGGCCTCATCGAATATGATAGATATGATGGGTGTTAATATATTCTCCTTGCATAACCGACTCTCGAACCCTCTCTTTAGTCTCGATGACCATTTATTTTCTCTTGTGGATTTTATTCAATATTTACCCTTTCCTCTTGAAATGAATAAATCTCAATGACAACTTTATTGTTCAAATATTTTTCGAGACGCTACAATTATAATTATAGTCTCATGTATGACATATAGATTTCAAAAATTTTGTTTACGTATGATTTTTGACATACATTATAATTAGTTTACTATATTTATTCTTAATTTTATTTGAAAATTGTTAACCAACACAATTTTGTTAATTAGTTAATGATTAATATTTGTGTTTTATAACTGTTCTCACATTTATATTGATGATATAAAAATAATTAAGTTAGTTATAAATATTTTCTCGTATGCGATTTGTATGATAAAATGTAATTAGTTTAATTTTTTTTCATTTAGATGTTTTAAAAAAATACAAAATTTAATTGATCTATGGTAATATTTTGTTCCATTATAAAAATTATATGCTTCACCATCTTATTCAATGACTCACTCTTAGAAGTAGAAAAAATAAACAAATTTAAAGTTTGAAAAATTATTGTTAACTTATGATCATTTTTCCTATTTTTTATTAATACTAATTAAATCATTGATTTTAAATAATTTCATAATAATAAATTTTTTTTTATAAATTTAAACAGTTTTAATCTTCTTCTCACTCTTTTGCACTAAAAGTCGATGGTGTATTTTTTTTGTCAAGAAGAAAATTATGAGAGAGGGACAAGAATATTTAAATTTAAAACAAGCACTAATTCCATAAGTTATATTAAATGTTTTTGTCTAAAACCATGGTAATTAAAATTGAACTGGATCAGACGGTTCAAACAATCGAACTTAGAATTATAACTCTCGTCAGTTTATTTGGATCTAAAAACCAAATGGTAGAAGAACGGGGTATAAATTGGAAACCAGTAAAAAATGATCAAAACCCAGAAAGCCAAAAGTTTAGACAACTTCTTAAATCAGATTAGATTTTACTTTGATTTATTTTATTTTTTTGAAAGGAAAAGATCAACTCATATGATTAATAAGAATATTTTGAATACATGTTGGAATTACATTAAAAATATGGATACTAGCAAAAGATGGAGCTACCCTAGCCAAAGCATGAGCGACTTCATTAGCTTGTCTCTTAGTGAACTTAACATAAGAAATAGGAGATTACATTCTCGAGTAATCACATCAAACTCCGAAACATTGGGTTTTAAATTGTTAACACTATCCACCACACTTTTAGCATCCAACTCGAAATCCATATTATCTAGACCAAGCTCGTGCACCCAATTGATAGCTGCTAGGAGGCCCAAAGCCTCTATGATATCTACGTCAACGATGGGAGAAAACCATTATGTTCTAGCAATGACAAAACACCCATCAACGACCCTTATGCAAGCACTTACGCATACCTTATTCTGAGAAAAAGAAGCATCAATATTACATTTAATACGCCCCTCCAAGTGTCTACCCCACTTAGAGATAGAAGTCATGCTATTTGGGATAATATTATTGCTTCGAATATATTGAGCTTCTTTCTAACCTACCAAAAGAGGCATAGCTCGATGACAAATATCAACAGAAGAGTCAGCAATATGATTCCAGATATGATTGTTCCCGCCTTTCCAAATAATCCATATAATAATAGAGAAAATCGCCCGATGATCTTGATTAGCAACCTGTAAAAAGGAGAAAATAATCACTACAAAAAACTCCAATTTGCTAGGTGTGTAGCACCCCGCAAATGCAAATATCACCCAACAACGTAACTTTTGCAGACGAGATATCCCGCAAAAATGTTAGTCGCAACTTTTTGCAAGGAAAATGCACCCTGTAACTTTTCCAAGAGAAAAGCACCCTACAACGTTGCCAGGTGAAAAGCACCGTGCAACTCCTTTCTCAGAGTTTAACACATATTAGAGCAGTTGAGTAGTAGATGGTTCAGAGCAGAGAGGAGCAGAAAGTGGCAGAAACTTGCGGGATGAAAATCACCCCGTAACTCCTTTCCTAGAGTTCAATGCATGTCAGAGCAGGTGAGTAGCAGAGTGGAGCAGAAAGTTGCAGAAACTTACGGGGTGAATATCACTTAGCAATGTTTGAATATTCATAAACTTGTGGAGTAAAATACACCGGGCAAAGGTTTTGAATACGCCATATGAAAACAACCACACAAACAGTAAATAATATAATAAAAAACTATATATTTATATTATTCTAAATATTAAATTAATATTTAGAATCATATAAATATAATAAATAATTTAAATTTAGAAATTTTTAAAAATTCTAAATTTATAATTAATTATAAATATTTAAATTCATACTTAATCTTTAAAAAATCCACAATTAAATTAATTCATAATTAATTCAAAACATTTAAATTCAAAATGATATTCATTCAAGATTCGGATAGTCCTCGCCACTTTCGTTTTCTTCATTTTCATTCTCATCTACCGCTCCTTGGTTATCAATCGCTCCAACTCCGCCACCACCATATTATTGTTGAAATATTTGTTGCATTTGTTATTGTATTTGTTGTTGTACTTGTTGTTGAATTTGTTGTTGTGTAAGCATTATTTGCTCTTGTGAAAGTCTTAATTCCTCCAACTCCATTTGTTTTTTCTCAATGCTTTATTTTCATGTGCTGCTTCAATTTGAGCTAGCTGTCTAATTGTTTCATTCATTTGAGGGGTTAATGTCATAGGACATGAAGACCCTTCCCCGTCTGCAATTCTAATAAAGAAAACCTATCCCCCTTGAAACAACCGTCTGAAAATCATCAAACAATGAAGTCGCTATCGGACGTCTTTTATCCAACATGAAGGGAAAGGTAAACATCGAGAAAACCTAAGAAGGGAGAAGTCACGGTCTTGTAACCGAGAGATCGGGTAAGGGAATCTATTACGATCCACTCATGTTATCTATCTTATGGGTGTATCTAATCTATGCTTATTGTTTACTATTGAGGAATAATACATGCAAAATAAAGGAGAAAATAATGTAGGGAAAATAAAGTTATACTCGCTTGGACCATACCCCAATGCCTACGTATCCTTTTTGAGGAATCATAGTTATCGTAGTTCGGTTAACATGTTTTTGTTTGTTTATGGTTTTTATGAACAATGTTAATTTCGCCTTCTGCCGCAACTCGACCTTTGGAGACTCACGCGTTGGCACATAAGTAAATTAAACATGTCCTTACCTGAAAAAGGTTTTAGAGAAAAGGTGCTTGGACGCACAAAAGGTTTGAGTTGGTTTGTATTTTGTTACCTTGAAAAATGGTTTAAGTATGATTAGCATGTTTTATGATTTTCTAAGGAAAATGTTTTAGTTTTAGATGCAAGGATGCAAAAAGAAGGAAGAAAAGAGTCTACGGGGGACTATCCTATTTCTAACCTAATGTTATCATACAATGGTAGCCCTACGTCAAAGATGAAAGGGAAATCTCTACCTAATGTTAACATGCATGGTTTGCAACCTCAGGTGAAATGCTTTAGCCAAGGGGAGCGTATCACCTGAGACAAACAAGCAGGAGTGAGATGAAACAATAAAAAATGTGATGTCCAAAGAGAATGAACACCTAATCAAGATATAGGAGATCGAGGTAAGCGACAGAAGATAATATGAACAATCACGGAGTGTCAACATCGGCCAATGCAAACTCCTGACAAAGCGTGGGGGTTCGATTGCAGAACCCTTCCCCACTTGACGACTCTATACACAAGAGCAAGCACAACTCTGAAGCATCATGGTGAATTTCTAAGGACGATGAGAAATAAGCCGCGTCGCATCAGAAGCGGGCATAAGTGATATGCTTCAATCACATAACTACCTATCATGTTACATGATCGAAAGCAAAAAAAGTGCCTTGCACAATCAACAAACGCGTCAAAAAATAACAAGGTGAAGCAGTATGAAGATATGGACTGATCAGATATACTGCAAGCATATTCAGAATGAGGCAATAATTTGAATCACAAAATGAATCTAATAGCTATTTTTATGAATGATCGAAGGGCTGCCAAAAACGTGATGATGGACCTGAAGATGATAACTTTTTGATCCACCCTTTGAACATCATCAATCCACTTTCAACATAATTATTATTTATTAATACCATGGCAAAAAATCTAATCAACATCATTGTGTTAATTATTAACAAAATTAGTTAAAAAAGATACTGAAAGGAAGTGAAACGATGCGTTTCAGGGGAGATTTGGGTTCAAGTTGTGACCATTGACCTTCCCTAATAGAAATATCTTCTTCCTCTCCCAACTTGCGATTTCCGGCGATATTACCGCAATCACCACCACGACGCAAATAACCGTCTTCAACCTCATCTCATTTCCGCCTCTAATTCTGATCCATGGATTCTCAACCTCCTCCGATTTCGATCTCATTCATCGATTCACATACATAAATGTGAAATTGAAAAAGGATTTTGGAGCTTACCTATCGGAGAACTCCGGTGGTTCTTCAGCGACGGTGAAGACGAGGAATCTTGGACATGTAAGCCCTTCAGTTCTTTGCTTCTGTAGATCCCGATTTCGTTTCTTCACTCTTTACTCTTCTACTTGTTTCTTCTGAGAAATTCTTCTGATCAATTCCCTTCGTTTGCATTTTTATGATTATTATGTTGTTGTCGATATGATAAGTCGTGGTAGCTACAGATTGAAATCGCTACTGTCAATTCTGAAGCTGAGACTGAAGAAGCTTGGCGCAGTTGAAGGTTGATGTATGCGGTTCTTGCGATTGAAGATTGAAGTGATGGAATTATTGTTGCATGAAGCCAAGGTTGTTGATATGCCTGAAGATTGAAGTGATGCGTATGGTGAAGATGACCAAAAGAGGAAGGTTGAAGGTACAAAATAATTATAGAGTTTGAAGATGAATGAAAGGGGTGAATGAGGGATTTCAGAATTAAGTTGCAGGGAGAGAAATTGAGATTGAGAACGAAGGTTGAAGATGATGTGGAAGGTCTTGATATCATTCAGAGAGAGGTGAGTTCCTTTAGTTTTTTGCAACTTTTTCTATTCCCAATCCTCAAATCACTCCTCCCTTTTCTGCTATAAGTTCCGAACCCTCTTTTTGTTATCTGAGTTTTTGTTGAAGTCTGTTAGAGGTTGTTAGAGGGTTGTTAGAGAGCTGTTTTGGCAGTTAGTTATATAAAAACTATTAGAAAATTAGTTTTTGTTTTCTGTTATGCGGTTGTGGTTAGAGCTGGGCCAGGAAATCTGTTATGCTGTTGGGTTTATTGGACTGTTATAGGCTAGTTAAGAAGCTGAAGTTCTGTTGTAAGTTTTTGCTAAATTCTGTTTGGAAGCTGTTATGAAACAGTTAGGCGGTTATGTTAGTTAAAATTTGTTTTGGTTGGTTAGTGAAGTTATAGGCATTTCTATTATGTTGTTGGCTTGAAAGTAGTTAATATTTTCTATTGTAATTTCTGTTTAGAAATAGTTAGGAGGCTTTTTGGACATTGGGATTTAGTTTTGTGTAGTTAGAAACAGTTGGGGTTAGTAATTTTGTTTAGTTATTTTTCTGCTGGAAGTTTGTTGGTTGTTGAGTTAGGGATTGAGGAAGTTATTTGGAATATTGATAAGCTGGCAGGTCCTGCCATTACGGTAGATAGGAGTTAGTTGGCTAGAAGTAGTTATAGAATTAGTTTTTTTTGTTTTCTGTTAATGCTACTGTTAGCCATTACTCTGCTATGAGCTAGATTTATATTCGGTTTGAATTCAGTTTTCTGTTGAGGAGGTTAATACCGACTACACTATTTTTTGGTCCAATTATTTTCTGAAATTTATAGGGCTTATGCAGGGTTGGCAAACTATTTTGATGTTGGCTTAAAGCGCAACTTAATTTTTTTATTGTAATCATTGATTTCATTTTCCCGTTTGGATCGTACATGGCAAGGTTGTATTGATACTAAGAACCTATTTATGTACCTAGTTTTCTTATTAAATACAGGGTTATATGAAGGCTACACTTGCGAAATGCTTGGGAACATGAAGCATGAAAATATGAGGAATCAAGCTTGAGAGTTTGAGCATGGTTACAACGTGAAAGGCATGAAGTGGGTTTGGAGAGAAATTCGAAAGAAAGTGAAGGTTGAAACTTGATCATGAAGTTCAGATTTTTGACAGAGTATTCCATGTAACTTGTTTCTTTGTAAAGACTCCTTTTTTGCAATTTGTGATTTGGTACATGATTTTATAATGTAAATGCTTTCTAATATTGTAGTGTAACATGGTGTATGGCAATTTTTTGTAATATGACTTTGAACGTTCAATGATAGTTTCTTCAATGTAACTTTTATCTTCCAAATTGATTTTGAAGTCCCAAGCTCTTTTCCTCTAATAGTTACTTTAAAGGCCTTTGTATGAATTCAAACGACCATGGGATGAATCCAAAACATTAGCAAGGTAATCAAAAGTGACTCAAATCTTGAATTAATTCTTGAATGAATATTTGGATGATACTTTGATTAGGATGAAAAGAGTGAATTTGATACACGCCTTGTAATTTGAACTCCAAGAAATCCCTCCCAAATTTAATAACTTTGATTCACTTCAAATCTTAATGGACAATTCCAAATCACCTTGAACCCCTAACTTCAACTTCTCAAAATCCAAGCTAACTTGTAACTGAAGAAACAAACAATAACCATGCCTTGATCATATTACGCATCCAGAACATCACCTTTGTACCATAATTTAAATCTTGCATTTCACTTCGCAAAGACACCTCATTTTGATGACTAATGATCTTGAAGCAAATGTCTTGAGGAAAACCTTGTAGATAGGAGCAATTAGAAGCAAATGAGTGATGGTGATCACAAAACCCTAAGCTTCCTTGAGATGAACCTTGATGGCTTAAAAGCCCATGATGAAGATGTCCTTGTAGCTCAGTGATAAGGGGGGTTCATGAATTAAAACCCCAGCTTTAAAAACCATGATTGATGATGAACTAGTTAAAACACACTTGAGTCAAGATGAGAGCCTAAAAGCACAGATAAACCCTAATTCCTCAATATCCTTGGTCCCATGTTAAACCTTGTAGTTAGTGAATTCATGACGTGTTAATTGACCTAATGAAAAAGTGATGTATATGCAGAATATGTGATGCATAATCTGAATGTTTTTTGATAGAAAGGTAGGACAAATTTGGTGTATTATAATTGCCCATATTTAATCGTATTAAACCTGAAAGTACGATTGGCGCGTGCTTTTTGGAAGTTCGAGGTAGAAGATGATTAAATACCAATGCCAAAAAATTGTTTTGAGAGAACGTGTAAGTGTTTTTATTTTTTTGTGATATCTGCTGGGGAGAGAATTTTTCATTTTTTGGTGAGAAAACTTAGATTGGACTCATGATGTGGCATGATGCCAATATGAGACAAAGGTTGGTATGAAAAGACGACGGATAAGATCTAAGGGCGACCTACGATCCTAAGGTGAAACATAAGAGCAATATGTCAGAGAACTAGGGCTATGGGCGACCTCAGAATTCTAAAACATGATCTAAAGGGAGTACTAGGCCTACGGGAGACCTCAGGGTTCTAGTATGAAACCTCATCTACTGGAGAACTAGGCCTATGGGCGACCTCAAAATTCTACGATGAGACATCAAGGCAAACTATCAGAGAACTAGGCCTATGTGTGACCTCAAGATTCTAGGAAGATATCTATGGGCAATATGCTAAAGAACTAGGCCTAGGGAGATCTCAGTTCTAAAACAGGATTTATAGGGAGAACTAGGCCTATGGGCGACCTAGGGTTATAATATGTAACCTCATCTATTAGAGAACTAGGCCTATGGGCAACCTCAGAATTCTACGAGGAGACATCAAGGTGAAATGTCAAAGAACTAGGCCTATGGGTGACCTCGAGATTCTACGAAGATACCTATGGGGGATCTGTTAAAGAACTAAGCCTAGGGCAATCAGAATTCTAAAATAAGATCTATAAGGAGAACTAGGCCTATGGGCAATCTCAGGGTTCTAAGATGATCTATTGGAAGAACCTAACCAATAGGCGATCTCAGGTTCTAAGGTGATTATTTTGGTTAGGACATGACGAGTGAAGGTACAAGGTACGATTGACTATACTGATTTTGTTGGAATCTGGAGGGAAAACAGACACAAACGTGTATTTGGAGAAGGTGACCTGAATGAGTGTTTGGGAAACTGACGAATACGAGTGTTTAGGAAACTGACACGAATGAGTATTTGGAAGCTAACTACCAGACGAGAACTGGCTTTAGAATTCATCGTCAGACAAGAACTGACTACCAGACTGGAACTAGGTTTAGAATTGATCATCAGACGAGAACTGACTACCAGACAAAATTGTGTTACGAATTGATCGTCAGACGGGAACTGACTACCAGACGGGAACTTGATTTACATTTGATCGTCAGACAAGAACTGACTACCAGATGGGAACTGTTTTTAGAATTGATTGTCAGACGACAACTGACTACCAGACTGGAATTGGGTTTAGAATTGATCGTTAGACGAGAACTGACTACCATACGGGAATTGTGTTTAGAATTGATCGTCAGACGAGAATTGACTACCAGACAGGAACTGGATTTAGAATTGATCGTCAGACAAGAACTGACTACCAGACGGGAACTAGGTTTAGAATTGATCGTCAAGCGAGAACTGAATACCAGACTGGAACTGGGTTTAGAATCGATCGTCAGATAGGAACTGACTACTAGACGAGAACTGGGTTTTGAAATGGTTTTCCAGGGTGAGATCTGGATTTTGAAATGGTTAGCCAGAGCAGGAACTGGATTTTGAAATGGTTAGCCAAAGAGGGAACTGGCCTTTGAAATGGTTTGCCAGAGCGAGAACTGGGCTTTGAAATGGTTAGCCAGAGTGGGAACTGGGCTTTGAAATGATTGTCAAATGAGAACTGGCTACCAGACGAGAACTGGGTTTAAAATGATAAGGTATATTGATTTTGTTGGGAATTCAGGGGTACAAGGTACTGGCACCGTTAGCTGAGAATTGTGAATGTGAAGGTCATCAGCTGGGGCTTTGGGAGTGATATCCTCTTATGGGGATGTATTATTGTCTTTAAATGATTCGAGTCTTTCATGTAAGGTACCTGATCTGGCTTATGCTTCGTATGCAATTTTGAATTTCTTTTGTCGCAAAGATCCATTCTGATGGATCGGCTACACGCTTTTTGAAGATGCAATGTTATGCAATGATAACTACATGCAATGCAAAGAAATAGACTTCATGGGGATAAGCGAAGTCTTATTGGAAACTGTTTCTCATCGTCGGGGATACCAATACATATCGCTGCTGGAAACCTACAGTATCAAAGATCACTGAGGATACTAATAAGAATTTGCACTGGATAGCTCATGATACCAAAGATTATTGATGACTCCTCTTGAGATTGAATTGCTGACGGAGTGGGTCTACAGGTACGCCACTAAATTATGAATTGCATTATTGGGGAAGCGATAATTCGGCCCGACTTCCCTACATCTTGAACCGTTGAGAGGATGGTTGAACCAGATATGCCGAAGAATGGATACCGAACACCATATGAATCTCTTCAAATACATGTCCCAAATTTACGTCTCACTGGGGAATTACCTCATAAACAACTTGGGGATAAAAGATGGGCATATGCATCTGCAAATGCCCTAGTTTAGCTTTGTGAATGTCCTAGTTTACTCCACTGGGGATGCTCTGGTTTTAGCTTTGCGAATGCCCCAGTTTAACTATGTGAATGCCCCGATTTACTCCATTGGGGAATGTCTATAGGAAAATTTTGCAAATGCCCCAATTTTCCCCATTGGGGACGCCCTGGTTCATCTCTACGAATACCCCGATTTAACTCTCGGAGGACGTGCACTTGCACGCGCTAAGTCAAACAATGACTCCGGACTTTCCGTATTCACTTGGGGAATTGGGTTTGGAATTGCCTGTAACAGATGACGGTGGCTTCGTGCACTGGTCAGGTCGGGGTGACAATTATGATGTTTTTAGCTTAATTGTAGTCATCTCGTATAACATAATTGGCTTGAGTAACTTTGCAAGTACAAATGAGGAATGCCCCTGTTTGGAGGATCTCTGAGAGGATCTATGCTGAATAGAAGGCCAGAATATCCATGATACAATATGGTATGAGGTGGTCTATCCCAATCTCTTGAGTCACAAAATAAATTACTCTTGCTTACAACTTTCTTGGAGAGATTTGTCGAATCTCGACGTGATTTCCATAGGTTGAATGAATTCTAATAGATTTCTCGATGTGATTGCCCCAAGTTGATGGAAACTTGAAGAGGTTTGTCGATGTAATGGCTTCTGATTAAAGGAAACTTGAGATTTATCGACGTGATAGCTTCAGATTGGGCGAGCTTGAAGAGATTTATCGTCATCATAGCCTCTGATTGACTGAACTCTTACTCAACGCGGTGTTCTCATGCAGGTTTTCAAAAATGTCTACCCCAAAGTATGATCATTCTTTTAGATGGTTTGATTTCCGAAAGATTCATGAAGCATTTTATCCCTTGGGATAATCAAATTTTAATTTGATGCTCATCATGCAAGCTTACTTGATGTTTAAGAACTCATTCACATGCAAAGAATGTTTCTCTAAGAATGATAATTCTAATGCAAATATTATGCTTGTCTTGAAGTTAAAAAACATTTATTGAAAAGATGTCGAAGCATTGAGTTTTTCTTGTACGAAATACAGTAAAAAAAAGAGTGATACCAACTCAAACGTTTTAGCAAGCCTCTTAGGAGTCAGGTTACCATACTTCCGTTACAGTGTGTTTTCGAAATAACCCATGCTTCCGTTAGGAATTTTAAGGGTTGTAACGTGGCCTGGTTCACGGTTTTACAAAAAAGGATTTGAGGCTCAAAATTATTTGGT